ACTGAACCTGAACTATTAAAAATCACTGAGATACTCACCCTGTCTCCAGGTCGTACCATTGGTTCTTGTTTTGTGCCTAATTTATGTAGTATATTGTAAGCAACCTTCATACTTCTGGTCCAAAGTTTACCTATAAACAAAAATTTTTGAAATAAATTTAAAAATTATTACATTTTACAAGATTATTAAAGAGAAAGAATACCTGAGAAGTGGAAAACACATAGTAGGAGCATTTTTATTAGTTTTCGAACTAAATGACACAACTACTGGGACTAGTGGAAATTTTTTAATACTTATCAGAAGTTTTCTTTGAACTTCTTTTTTCAAGACAGCAGCACTTCACTTTAAAAACAAAAGAAAAGTGAGGATAGTTTTCTTCATGGCAGAAGTTTCTTACTTTGGAGAAAATTGGATCTTGAGTCCAAAGGTTAACTTTTTCTTCATGGCAGAAGTTTCTTACTTCGGAGAAAATTGGATCTTGAGTCCAAAAGTTAATGGCTAGAACATCATTCAGTCCAGATATCACCCTAACACCTTAGCTGTAGCAAGGTGGACAAGTCACATTTCAGTGCAGACTGACCTCTGAGGGTGATACTCAGGTTTCACACTGGCACTTCTCTCACCCCAAGCCACCAAGGAAAAAAAGAAAGGAGTCCCAAGAAGCAGAGACAAAGAAAAGAAAACCCCAACAAACAGAAAACACCCCACAGCCAAAGGGGCACACCAAAGCAGCAGGGACCCTCTGGCCTTTAGCATATCCATGTGGCTGTTACACTTTTAATTCCAGGCCTTCTTCCATTTAACTTGGCTTTTTCTTCTCACCTGCTTCTATACCCTCCTTTCTCTCAGTTTCATTTCACTTGCCCCCAGTACCCTTCCTTGCTGTCTCTCTTCTCCCTTGCTCCACCTTTCCAGAACCAGACTTAGCTAATCCTTATCAAGTCCTGATCCCAATTATTTTATTATGAAAAATAATCTCATCAAGACCTTGTTGGCCTTCAGGTGATAAGCACCTTCTCTCTTTCACACGGCCTTTGTTTCGAGACCTTGTTACCTCCATCTGAGCAATACTGAGCTCAACAGTCCTTGTGCCTGGCTGGCCACTAGGTACTGTATTTAAGCAGTATTCAGTCTGACAGTCACAAATCTTTAATTCATGCCCACCAATAACTGAAACAATAATAGGTTCTGACAACAGATTACCTATGGAGTTCAGCAGTTCAGGCTCCCAAACAGGCAGTATTGCTATTTATAACTAAGCCAAGCAGTTGCTATATTAAGTTCCGCAGTATTGCTATTTATAACTAAGCCAACCAGTTGCTATATTAAGTTCGTCCACATCCTGGTTGTAAAATGCAATACTATTGAATTATTTGGAAGTGCAAATCTGGTGTAAATATAAAGGACAATGAGAAGGCCAGATTTTCTTTTTTTCCACTTACAAAAGATTGGAAGGGTCACTGCTGCTTGTTATGGAGAAAGTACTAAGTGCAACTATTCCTTATGAAAACAGTAATATCATATCATCAAACTATGCTTTGCAAAGTTTTTAGTTTATTTAAAATGATTCCAGTGCTTGTATGTTGAACTGTCTCGATGCTCAGAAAGAAACACAACTTGATTCTGTTCCACTGGAAACTCAGCATGGATACAGGATTACATCTGCAGGATTAACCCTCACAGCACTATGGCAGGAACTACTTGCATTTGATGGAAAGTCTTTGATAGCATCCCTACTGCTACAGTTAACACTTGAACTTGACAAGTATGATAAAACCAAGGATGCCTTAAGAAAGCAAATACTCTTTCTCTTAAAAGTTTTCAAACATTGAAGTTTCAGTGGCAACAAACGTAAAAGAGCAATTACTAATGATACAGAAAATTGGAGAATGGAAATCAAAAGCCTGGCAAAAGTTCTGAATTGCGAAAAAGAACCATCTTAACACAAAACACTTTCAAACTTGAAAAGAACATTGAATTTTTAATTCCTTTTCCAAGAGACATAAGGAGCTGCTGTGAAAAGTTCTGTCTGGGCTATAAAGATTTAATCTGTTACAAGCATCTTAAATTTGCATTTGTGACATATTCACACTAATTTTTCATCTATCAAATGTGCCATCTTACAGTGTTTTCTTTAAAATCTAAGGCCAATTCGTATTACATTATTTTGATGCATTTTTTCAGAAGTACCCAGGTACACAGTATACTCCTCTCCACCTAAGAGACCTGGGTGAATGCAGCAATTCTTTCAAAGACTCAGGAAATACAAAGGAGTACTTTCTAGGAAAGTTTTGAATAATCAAATCGTTAAACACATTTTGTCACGATGCTCTTTTATTGCCAAAATTTTATTCCAGCTTCTGAAACCCAGAACACAAGACTGCCTTCCTAATTCCTCACCTTTCTGTTTGTGAATACACTTTGAACTGCACAAAAAATGCCTATACTATTTCCTAGTGGTCGGAAAAGACTTGAATTTTCTGTCACCACAGCCCTTTCTCTATTTACTGGTGTGATACCAAGCTATGTTAATTAGCCATAGTAACTGGGCATGCATGTGCATATGGGTATGAAACTGCAGAAAGCTGGAACTAGGCAGCTAGTTTGAACTGAGCTGGGAAGGATTTGGAATATAAGGACCTTACAAGCTCTATAACGTCATTCCAACCCTTGCAGGCTCTGCCTGCCCCCAGCTGCTGCTGGCTCTGCTCCAGTGCAGGCAGAGGCAGGCAGGGGTGGGCAGGGGCTGCCAGGGATGGGCAGGGGTGGGCAGGGGCTGCCAG